GAGAGAGAGAGAGAGAGAGAGAGAGAGAGAGAGAGAGAGAGAGAGAGAGAGAGAGAGAGAGAGAGAGAGAGGGAGAGAGAGTCTTGTGCAGAACAAAAAAAGCAAAAACTTTTTTTTTTAAATTCTGAGCTGTGTATGCCAAACAAAGGTAATATTATCAAAATGGGTTTCCGTAATCAAGCAATGAGTGACAGTCCTCTGAAGAACAAACAAATAAATTATTTTAAAAACCCCAAAATCGAGCTGCGTATGTCAAACAAAGATAAGAAACGTGTACCAAACAAAGGAGTGAGAGTCTTAAAAAAAAACAAAAAAACCCAAAAACCCACCAAACATTCTGATGTGTATGCTAAACGAATATGTACATGAGATGTTTACAGTACCAATATAAATGAGTGAAAGTCTTCTGCTGAGTTATGTATCTTTTATCGATTTTTTCAACATTTAAGATTTGAATTTGAACAAAATTATATTTATTCTTAAGTGCATGTAACCCCCCCTCCCCCCCGAGTAAAGGCCACATACAAGTTCCTTCCATTTATCCTTGTCCTGGGCCACCCTTTCAAGCTCGTTCCAAGTGAGCTTCATCTCTTTCATATCCCTTTACACACATCTCCTTCATGTTTCCCGTGGCCTACCCCTGTCTCGTGCTCCCTGTGGGTTCCATTGCAGTGACTGTCTTGTAATGTTTCTGTTGGGCTTTCTGAAGGTGTGTCCCATCCATCGCCATTTTTTAGTCCTTTTACCACTTCTATATCCTTTTGTCCTGTCCTTTCCCACAGCTCTTCATTTATTATTCTATTCTGCCACTTAAATCTTAGTAATTCTTAGGATACTCCTCATAATCTGTTGATGAAAGTCTGAACTTTATTCAGCACTGACTTTGTTGTCTTCCAAGTTTCGCAGCCGTAGAGGAGCACAGACTTGACATTGGAGTTAAAGAGTCGAATTTTAGTGTGAGATGTCGCTTGCTTTCCAGAATTTACGATGACATCGACGTTATAATTTATTAATTCTGAGCAACTGCCGAAAACAGGTATCATTCATTGGGAGTTTTTTCATTAGAGATTATGAACTATCAGAATGGGTCTCCGTAATTTGCTTTTATTTCATGACCAATTCAGTGAGGAATGTATTTGTCACTTTTAGATTCCATACAGAAAGAGGGCTCCAGCTTAACGGAAGAAAAACGCCTCCGGAGATAAAGAGTTAATAAAGAAAGTATCAAAGGCAGAAATACTACACATTTTCTTTCAACCAAACAACTCTCCTACCCCTATCCCGGAATTTAAACGATGATGATGATGATGATGATGATGATGATGATGATGATGATGATGATGATGATAATGATGATGATGATGATGATGACTACGATGATGATGATGATGATGATGATGATGATGATGATGATGATGATGATGATGATGATGATGATAATGATGATAATGATGATGATAATGATGATGATACTTTATTGTCACAGAGGGAAATTTTTCTTGGTTGTACAGGGACGTACCATTAAAACTCGAAAGACATTGCAGTGGAATTTTTATCCCCTCATACACATCGTATAAATATCCAGGAACAGGAAAAACAATAAGGTAATTAACCCTAAAACTGCAGAACTCGTTAAATCGATTATTTCATAATACTATGTCACCGGGTCAAAATCTCCAATTAAAAGCAATATGTTTCAAGAGAATTATGTAATATGGTAATTAAGTGAGAAAAAAAATTATTAAGGTTAATAATTCACCCCTTTCTTTCACTGAGCTTTGCAATATCAATGAAAAAAAGATCATTGCTGACATTAATCACCCATTAAATTCAGAAGAGGCTTTTGTCACAAGTAAATGTTATTATTCCAATAAAAGCAAGAACTGACAGGTCTTAAATTAATTCAAACTACGGTCATCAATACGAGCTGTTCATTCAGTCTTTGAGTACTTTGACTGGTGTGCAAGAAAAAAACATTATTAATTTTGTTTGATTAGCCATTGACTTTTCATCTAAGTGCATCGGTGTGTCAGTGTATGGGTGAGCCTGTGTGTGTGTGTGTGTGTGTTTGTATGTGTGTGTGAGTGTGTGTTTGTATGTGTGTGTGTGTGTGTGAGAGTGTGTGTGTGTGTGTGTGAGAGAGAGTATGTGTGTGCGTGTGTGTGCTCGTCTTTGTTTGTTTGTGTGTGTGTAAGTGTGTCGATGTGTGAATATTTGTTTTTTTGCATGTGTGCGTGTATGTGTGCAAGTATGTATGTGTGTGTGAGTATGTGTGTGTGTGTGTGTGTGTGTGTGTGT